CAGAATAATCTGTAAAATTGATCACTTTTGGTTTTTGTAAGTCAACAATGAATTGTGTTCCAGGTAAGGGCTTAGAAGATTGAGGTTGATATTTATCTGTAGATTGAAATTGATACCGGTTTGTAAATTGAGTATTTAAATCAAAATTCGGACTAGAACTTTTGTTTGGGAACAATGATTCAAATACTGATGAATTTCTATTTAAACATTGTACTTTATCAGGAGAATCACATTTTAAACTATTAGGATTGAACAAAGTGCCTTCTGCACATGAGTTGACAGAACCTTGACCTTTATTACATCTTATATACTTTCTACAATCTGATGGAACAGGAAAAAGAGCTGTTGATTTTGGAAGGCAATTTTTTTTATCCCACAACAAAGCTGCATTACTCTAAAATTAAATTACAAAATTAAATAGCATTGTTATACTAACAAAATAATTATTTTGATTACCTTGTTTTCACGCTGTTTATTAGACTTTCTCATATAATTCATAGAAGTAATATATTCAGGTTTATTAATTTCTTCATTTTTGACCCCAGTATAAATGTTTTTATAAAATTCAGCCGACTTTAAGTGTTTTTTAGAAAACGATGCATTGATTAATGTACCTGGGTAATGACCAATCTAATACAAAACATCAAACATTTATTTATAAACTTAAAACAATTAATTTACATTTAAAATACTTACACATAATATTTCATGGTGCATGAGAAATAAAAATACTAGAGTACTGTCACTCTTCATGTTGATGTACAGATTAGACTATACACATTAAAATTGTTCAATATTTATCATCAAAGGTTAAGTCATAGCTTTTATAAGCAACACTAAGATAGTACTATACATATATTATACAAAAAATATTTCCTTATCCAATAAATGATTACACAACCTACTTTTAATTATTAAAAAAATATACTGATTATTACAAATAAATAATTATTTATTATAAAAAATAAATAAATTGTAACATTCAAGATATTCTTAATCTAGATTTAGTTTTATCAATTAAAAATTTATATGGATGTTCATGATTGTAAGGTGTTTTTGGTATTCCAATAAATTTACGTACTTGAGGAGATAATAAAAATAAATTTTGAGATAAACCATAAATACTAGAAGCAGTCCAATATAAACATACCCCCTAAAAAATAAAACATTTTATTTAAGTTAAAGAAAATTTTAAATGTTGTAAATTCAAAAATAATGAATAATTACCGATGGCAGGAAACATGAGAGTGGCATCATGACAATGGAAAAACCTCTGACTATATTTGTAAGGATTTTTTGATTACGTGTAGGACTCTTATTTCGTGATTGAGATTGTATCTTTAAATAAGTAAAATGTTTGACTCAATAATTTATTATTTTTCATCAACATAACTAAGTAATTATTTAAATTATAATACCTCAATAATTAAAAGATTTGATAGGCATAGAATGATCGGTAAACAATAAGTTGGGTCAACAGCAGTTAAATTTGAAAACCAAAAGACTCCACCTTCAGTAAGTTCATGAAACCTAGTAACAGCTTTTACAAACATAATATAAAATAAAACCTATTGGTATTTTTATATTATTAATGTTACCTTCTTCACTTGGAGGTAACATTAATGTAATGTTACGAATAGCTATTGACATACAAACCCACATTGGTAATTGTATCCAAACTACTATGGTCGCTTTAGCAGGATGACAGTTTTCTTTTACTATTAATTCATTCCAATACTTTTTTATCTAAATTAAAAAAAATTGAAGTTATCATCAAAAATCAATAGTTGTAAAATGTCAAAGTATGAAAAAAAAATTAATAAAGTTGATTGATTAGATGCAAAATATTATTTATTTATTTGTTTATTTTGATACATTAAAACATCATAATAATTGGTACCGTTTTAAAATTACAACTGAAAAGTATTCTTTAAATATCAAAATATAATATTGATGTTAAATGTTAAGTAGTATAATACATGGATACATGTTTAATACTAAGTAGAAAGACAATAGTACATTAAAATCTTAAAATTATATGATTCATTAAATAAAAAACTGGCAAAAATGAACAATAATACCAAGAAATTATTATATTATAAATAATAGTTTTTATTATACTTGCAGCTTTAGTATAAACTCTTTTAGCTTTCCCTTCAGGCCATTTATGTAGTTTTATGGCCTTAGCTACTTCTTTTTGTATTTCTTTTACTGTTGGTTCAAATTCAATAGAAAGATTTTCTAATTTTGAATTAATATAATGCTAAATAAAAAAAAATAAAATATTAGGTTATACATAGATTAATGTTTACATTTAATTATTTATTTGTAATTTAATCACAATTATATTTAGTTAATAATATAAAACCCACAAACAACTTATAAACACAACTAATTAAAAATACTATGACTTTATGACTACCTAAATTATATTATTCATGCGATAAAAATCATGCACACAGATCAAAAATATTAAATATATATATATATATATATATATATATAAAACAAGTCCAAGGGGACCACCTAGATTGGAACTATCATTAAATTATGAAACAGCAGTATCAATTTATGTCACTTTAACTGTATACATAGAAATAAAATAAAATTATAGATCTCAGTATAAATATTTAAAAAAAAAAATTGTTCAACTAATTAATATTTTAAATTATAATTTTAACTTTTTAAAATATAAAAACGTAACAATAATAGTACCTACTTGGTATATTGTTAGAGGTAGGGTCACAACTAATCTCAGAGTTATGGCACTAAGCATTATTGTTGCCCACCAAGAAGTACCCGTCATTTCATGAAATGAAATTATAAACTGTTGTGCATACGCCACTGGCGTACTGTTGGATAACGTCACAAACCATGAAGGAAGCGTAATGGTAGTGACTGAGGATACACTTCTGTTGGGTATATGCAACCCTTCTGATGTGTTATTTTTGTTACAAAATAACGACGAGCTTAGAATCGGTCTATTCGTATTATAGTAGCTCAAATGTCGACAGTCAATCAATCTTCGAACACTGATCTGCCGAGTGCATAAAGTTGTGATAATCATTTTCGACTAATAGAACAGTTATTTTACAAAATGCAGAGCAACACGGTTAATAATAACACTAATATTATTAATAAATCTAAATAATGTATGTGTTACACAAGCATTCATCCATGTCAATACTTTTAATATGATTTTAATGGACACACAAACAGACGTTCAATTAAAATAGTAATTTTTGAAACTTTTCTGCTGTACAAAGACTAAATGCTCTTAGAACGGCATGGCATAACGTTATCACAAATGTACAACATACATTCTACTGATAAAGGCATTAGCCGTAAAAATTTGATAAATATATAATAAAATGTTATCGTTTCAATTTCAACAGCTGATGTCGTCGATAGTCAGTGTAACTGATAAGCATTGTGTTATTTATTATTTATTTTTCAAAATTTGATTCTCCCAATCGGGGGAACTCACGTGAAGTACGTTTCTAAAGTGTCAATATTAATCATAATTGCTTTTTTGTTTAATTTTAACGATAACAACATATAAATTTGTATTATTTAATTATTTTAAAACATTTTGAATCTTAAAATATAAACGGTTGATATTAGTCTAATACTATTTAAGTACCATTATAATTTTGATTTGAAATGGACCGGTTTGAGTATGTTAAACCAGACCCTTCTGATACAGTACTATGTCGTCACAGCAATGTTACATTGTATGATGGAGATTACAAAACTTCATTTCATCGTGGTAATATTATCTTAACAGTCACTCGTCTCTTTTGGACGTCTGGAGAGGCATGGATATCTTTGCAACTCCGATACATAGTATACATGGAGTCTGTAGTCACCGAATCTTTGTTTGGATCTAAAACCAAAACTATTATTGTTCATTTATTACCTTCGGACAATAAAAATCCTGGTCCTGTTGCATGTGCTAAAGGTGAGTACATCAAACTTGATTTCAAGGATAAGATTCCTGATGGATTTTTGGATGTATTTCAAAAAACTGTGGCAGAAAAAAGATGGGCTGCAACTAAAATCCCTCACCAAATTAGAACTGGGATTGGAGGGATTGAAAAAAATATTTATGAAAAGCAAAAGGCATCCGACATTAGTATTACAGATGCTTTCAAAGATTTGGATAGACTAATGATCACTGCTAAAGACATGGTGATGTTAAGTAAAAATATTTCTGAAAAAATTAAAGAAAAACAAGGTGCTATAAGTGATGATGAAACTGTACGTTTCAAATCTTACCTATTGGGTTTAGGTGTTGATGACCCAGTAACCAGATCTGCATTCACTGATTCAAATGCATATTATACCACTCTTTGTAAAGAAATAATTAAAATTATTAAAGTTTCATTAGAAGAAGTTGGTGGTACAATGGCCCTTGCAGAAGTATATTGTCGAGTTAACAGAGCTAGAGGATTAGATCTATTATCGCCCGAAGATTTAATGAATGCATGTTACATGATGAATAGTGATAAATCATTGCCTGTGAAACTAAAAAAATTTGATAGTGGAGTACTAGCGTTACAATCTTCTTTATATGATGAGTCTATTGTATTAAAAAAAATAGTTGAAGAATTAAAAATTAATGGATCTTTAAGTGCCCAAGAATTATCAACATCAATTGGAGTATCGGTGGTATTGGCTAAAGAATATTTGTTATCAGCTGAAAAAAATGGAAAGTCATGTCGAGATGAAAGCATTGAAGGTTTAAGATTCTATCTCAATAAATTTTTAGATGAAGAAAACATGTAAAATCATAACTTTAAAATAGTTATTTATTGTTTAAATATATTGTTTTTATAGTTAAATTACATATGACACTTATTAACTAGTATAAAATGTAATATATCCAAGTAGAAGCATTAGTTATTAACATACATTTTAAAATTTAATGATAAAAAATATAAAATGAGACTGGTAATTTTTCTTGAGAACTAGTTATATTTAATTATTTTCGAAAATGTAGTTAAATCAATATTTATGTTATTGATGATGAATTATTGGTATTTTTAATTATTATACTTTGTTGAAGATTATAACTACAACTGTGATATAATTAAGAATTTTGTTTCAACCATTACAAGTTATTACTTGCGTTTGTAATTGATTATTATTAATATTATATTATATAATATGTTTAAATTTAATAAATTGTATATATTTTTGTAAAATACATAACTAGTTACGTAATATTATTGACTACTTCAAATGTAAAAATTTTTAGTTGTTTTTTTTTTTTTTTTTTTTTATAAAAATATACATTTGTTTAAATATAATAAAATCATTGGGTAATTATGTAATTAATTATTGATAAATTCAATTTTTATTTTTTTGATTGAAGGTATAAGTATCAAATTACTGAAACTTAATATTTTAACTTCTTACCTGTCGTCAAAACAAGTTTATATACATTTGTATCTCATATTTTGTATTACATAATTGTTGTGCCTTACTAGTAATGTGTTTAAACAATTTATTTTGTTTTCATTGTTGAAATTGTGATTTACTTAAAAGTTATTATTGTGTACGTGTAGAAAAATGGATGAAAAAGTATGATGATTTTAATTTATTGATTAATTGTACATCTAGCCATCGGTATTTTATTTCATACTATTTATTTCATTATTAGAATGACAATGAATTCCTATACACACCTAGTCATTGGTGTAAACGGATGAAACCAAATTTAGTGGTTAACAAACATATCGAAATTGTTCAGTCGAGTAAGTAAGATTCATCATGAATGATTTTAGTATGTCATATACCTGTTAATAAATATTTTTATCCCTCAATATAAATGTTTTTAGTAAGTGAAAAAATGAAGGAATCCAGATATTGTAAAAGTTTAAATATTAGGTATGGACCTGGTGATCGACAACTGATGGATATTTATGAAAACAGTCCAACTTCTGAACATACTTTTGTTTATATACATGGAGGTTATTGGCAAGAGTTGAATAAAGATATTTCTGCATACTGTACAGAACCATTAGTCAATGCTGGAATTAGAGTTATTATACCTGGCTACGACCTTGCTCCATTAGGTATAAAGTTTTTTATATATTCATTAAGTACAATTATATATATATATATATATATATATATATTAGTTGTCTTTAAATTTTTGGACTTTATTCATAACATACTGCTTGAAATTATCTGATTACTACTTGAATGAAAAATTTTACTTCATAGACTTGTTGTAATCTGGCAATATATTGTCCAATTGGATCATTTTCTCTTTACTTCACTATTCTAAAATGTAAGACAGAAGTGTTTATCTGTGTATCCAAAAACTGATTTTGTAACCCTTATTTATATATATATTCGATAGGTGTAATTGTCAACATTTATGTTTTAATTATTTTTTCAACTGCTTTCATTTAGCTGACTATTGTTTATCTTTTTTCCTATTTTAGTTACTCTAAGAAATATTGTTGAAGAAATTCATCAACTTTTATCGTATATAAAGATATGTTTAAAGTACAAGTAAGCGTCACAAACCTAAGGTCTGGAGACATAACTGATTTTTATTTTATTTTTGAAATTAGAAATATTTGGTTGGGAGGCCATTCAGCAGGTGCTCACTTAGCTGCATCAATGATACATCCTGCAGTACATGAACATTTCAGTATTAAAGGATTTATACTTATTAGTGGGATCTTTGATCTAAGTCCATTATTGGAAACTACTATAAATATTCCCCTTAAGTTAAACAAGTAATATATACATTACAAAAATATATTTTTAACTTATATTAAAATAATAATTTAGTTGACTTTACTTAAAAATATACATTTTCTTTTAGAAATGATTGCTTAGAATTAAGTCCACTGAATATTTTGAATAAATTCGATTTTTCACTTAAAACAAACAGCATAAAAGTATTTGTGGTATATGCAGAACACGATTCACCAGCTTTTCATAATCAGTCATCACAATTTGCTAAAGTTTGTAAAAATAATTTTTCTATTTATACATTTCATAACTACAACTATTTTTATTTTCGATTTATTTAGAAATACTATCCAATTTAATACATTACATACTTAGTATATGATTTAATTATTTTTAGTTGCTGCATAAAATTGGTATTGATATATTGGAAGAACGAATAACTGAAGTTGATCATTTTGATATCGTAGAAAATCTTTCAAATAATAACTATTCACTTACAAAACATATTATTAACTTAATTATTAATACTTAATCAACAAGTATAATAACTTATTGAATACAAATATTATATGTCATCGTCTTTGAAAATATATTTAATTTTACTTATTAAAAAATTTTAGGTGCAGGGCACAAATATCGCAATTATATATTATAAATAGTTAAATAATCATGATTAAGTGAAATAACTACAAATTGTTAATATAAACTAGATTAATTTGTAGCTATTTATTATTTTTCATTAATAATGAGAATATAATTGTGTTGATTTGAATTTTTAATAATAACATATTTTTGGCACCTATAATTCAATGTTCTTAGTTTATTGAAAAATAAATCAAATATTAACTATAATTTCCAAATACAATTTAAAATAACTATTCTGTGTATACATAAAATGGTAAGTATCTTATTTTTGTTTTTTCTTATTATAACTGGTTTACCAAATAATATATATTTTTTTACATAATATATATTGTTAGTACACAAAAAAAAAAATAATAATAATAAAATATAGTTATAATTTTATTTAATAATATATAAGTATGATACAAAGTTATGATATTATAGTATCTACCTAATGTAAGTATGAACTTAAACATAAAGAATAATATATTTTTTTTAAATACCAAATAATTAGAAGAAAAATACATAGAAATGTGTTATTTAAATTAATGACTTACTGACTAACATACCTATGGAATAATTTATAAAGAATATTTATATGAAATTTGTATGAAAACCGGTGTCAGTTGTATGTACCAATATTTATACCTTAAATCGATTGTCAACAGCAAAAATATTTTGTCTTTTTTTTTCTTTTTTTCACAATCAGTCAATAAACGGTATTTTTTTGACAATTCCATCTGAAAACAAAATAATCAGTAAATATAAATATTCATTTAATCTATTGCCAACGACAAATAATATTGTATTGTTGAAAATCAATTGATATGGATGTTTAACTACAAAAATGTAGTTGCTGATTTCCATGATATTTATCGAATTTTGCCAATATTTAAAATTTAAAAACTCATAATAAAAAAAAAAAAAAATGTGAATTTTTATAATTTATTACACAAATAAAAAAATAATTTTCTTACTGTTTGTTATGAACGTTTGAATTTTAAATGTTGATAAAATTATTGAATGAGAAACTTAGTAAATACATAATATTTATAAATTATTTTAATTAATACAGTTAACGAAAATGTATATATAAATATTTTAGGAAAAAAAACTTAGAAAATATAAAAATTTCAAATATCTTTTAATAGCACAAAAATATTTGAAATTTTTTGAAAGCTATACATTTTCTAGAGAACTGTGGTATCAGCATTTAGCGAAAATTTTATGTTTTTACATGATTATTGTCCAAAAAAAAGATTCTGGTATCTAGTAAATGTTGCAGTTTTTTTTTTCTCCAAAATTTCATGACACTAAAAAAGAAATTAGAAATTGATGATTAAATCCTTCTGGTCGAAATAGTGTAGAAGATAAATCTATAACCATGGCACCTAGGTAAAAATAAAACATCTATATGGTAAAAATCAATACATCCCTCCAGAATTTATAATAAGGGTACTTATTTAGAACCATAAGTATAAAATAAAACTTTTTTACTATTTATTAAATTATACTACCAGTACTCGTAATGATTGTATACTTCAAATTCAAAAATAATCAAATGGATTGGAGAAACCGTATGGCTTTATGTTCGAGAAATAACTGCGATATAACATTTCAAAAATAAACATCGTCAATTGAAACACGAAATTATAAACCAATTAGGTACAAAAAAGTACTCATACATTCATCGGCCGTCGTATTTATGTTTAAATAATTATTGTATACATGTATGATAAATCGGATAAATATATAATTTTATTATTACCTTCATATCTAGTTCTAAGCCCTGACCGATTGTATGTGATTAATTTGCTTTTGAAGTTTTACATAAGTCATCTCGAGCTTTTGCTTCTTCTTGGCGATCTCTATTTCATGTTCCTTTTTTCTGAGTCTGCTCTTTTGTGCCGCTTCGTTGTTCTTCTGCCGCTTCATGTAGTAGTCCATGCCGTGACTGGACGAGTTCTTCGATGAGTTCATGATGACGGCGGATGACGATCGAAGAAAATGAGTACTAAAAGTGTCGTTTACACAATCTGAAGCCGTCTGTCAGAGAGAGATGCGGAGATAATAATGGTACAGCTGGGACGACTGAGGAAAATATCTTAAGATGAAGAAAGCTCTGAAGAGGGATATGAACGACCTCAGTGAGACTTCTCTTGGTCGGCTGAATACTGGAGTGTGTTAAACAGGGACGTTCGTCGCATCGGGCCGGAAATGTTCGAGTGCGCGTCCCCGCGACTTTTCAGGTGTCATGGGTTCGAGTCGTTGATCGATGTTCGTGAACAATATAATTAACCCGACTGCCCAAAGGTTCCTCGCTAATACGAAATTAATAGCTTCATCCCACCCCATCCGTGACCCGCAGAACCGTCTACCTGCGGTGCGCGCAGTAAGGAGCTCATTTTCATTCGAGAAATCCGTAAGTGCGTCCGCTTCGGTATTTATTGTTGTCAGCGCAAAAACCCATAATTGCACGTCGTTAATCGCACATAAAAGACGTATCCCGCACAAATGTATTTACATATGTAGGTAAATGTGGATATCCTGAGAATTCCGAGTGCTAATCGTTAAGTATACACAATCGTCATTCGTTATTGTGATGGTTTAAACGACCGTCATGAAAATATAATACGCATATGGGAAATAGCGTATTCATATTAATTATTCTTCTCGTATCCGGTGTAAGCCGTAAGGATTTAACTAGGGGAAACGACACGTTCCAGAAAGTATCGAAACTATATGAACTGCGTATAGTATGTAGGTATTCGTGCGTGCCATGTACTATTACTATTACTACTACTACTGCGTATACCTATGTACTGTATGTAGGGTTTTAATGATTTTCGTGAAAAGAACGCCCGCATATATTTGGATAAATTCTTGAGTCCAGGTGGTTGACGGTCGCCCATCAGATTATTGAATTTATAATGGCAGTTCGTGACAGGGATTTTGTAGCAACACTCACTATACATTATACACTTACTGCTTGTCGCCATGCCGGTTATAAAATTATAAAATAATTTTAAAAAAAGTTTAGTATCTTTAAATTAGAGTCTTAAACAGATATCTACTTCACGTGCAGACGCGATTTGTAATGAAAAATCTAGGATTTCCTTTAATTAAATGTTAAACTGTACTAACCTATACAGCACTTATACTTATTGTAAAAATAATATATTTACAGATTGTTTAATAAAACTAATTAAAAACAAAAATGTTAAACGTTAATTTTAACTTTGTAAACAAAAAATTTAAGAGAGTAAATTAGGTAGCTGAGGAATTACTGTTTTTTAATTTTTTGCTAAAAACTCACGAATGAGTTGTGACAAGGGACAAATTTCGCTTCAATACGCTAATTAACTTTGATTAATATATTTTAACAAGAACCACAAGATATATTCTTACGTTTCGTGCTCCTTCTTAAATAGTTACTATTTCTTAGGTTATTTCAAACTATTTCAAGAACACAATTTACGAATTACGGTTTCATCCGTTTCGGAGAAGTTAATCTTCATCGGTATTTGGACGTTTACCCCCCCATGTCTCCCCACCCGATGATTTTAGCACGTTTCGTGCTCCTTCTTAAATAGTTACTATTTC